TTATTTAAATTCTAAATTCTTTTTTCAAAATTGGCTCAATTTTTTTTTCTTATAGTACCTACCTAGGCCTAGAACATTCGAAGTCATGTTAAGTCCTTCTCTGGTGATGAAAGCTTTAACAAAAGGTTCAAAAATAGGCGAAAAAGCACAATTTCATGTTCAATATCGCCGCTAGCGGTTTTTAATATACGAATCTAGCGGGTTGCCATCTTCGAGAGTTCAGGATGGTATACTAGCTAATACAGTGACTAAAGAATACTCGGACTAATAATAAGCTAATAATACCCGAGACCAAATTGTTTCCATATTATCAAACAGTGCCGTGACACATATTTTTCTTAACTTAGCTGCTTGAAAAGATATTTATATTTTTGATAAATGTTTTGACTACACCTATGGTGTATGCTGTGGTATCATACTAATTAATTACGAAAAAAAGTATTAAAATGTTAACAAAAGGTACGAAATTAGTATCGACGTATAGCACGTATCAAGTACATATAATATCAGAAAAATAATTATCGAATTCAGTAAGAAAACGCTAAAAAGGCGGAGTGGACTGTTTATATTTACCTATGAAACGTAACTCCTGGCTCTTTCTTATCGCTGCGGCTTATACACTTGAAAGCTGAAAAGCTGAAAGACTAGATTTATCACCATTGTAATAAAGTTTCTACAAAGTTCACGACACACAAACTATTAAAAATCGCTAAAATTGTCGCTGATGACTCATGCGTTACAACCAAAAAAATGGCGTCTAACATCACAAATTCTACTGCAGCCCGTATATGGACGTTATATGTCCTTGTATTCTTTTTTGATTGTTTTTATTCTTTATATTATGTCCTTTTATTCTTTTTTGATTTTGATGATTTTTTAAGTAATCTGTAGTTAAATTATTTGGCTTTTTAGTGTCTCTTTCTAAATTAAAAATGAAATTTCCCATCCCTCAGTTATACGAGGGAAAACTAAATGTTGATAATTTGGTGAAAGTTTGAAATACCCTGTAGAATATATTAATAAAGCAAGGAATTTAAAAATCATTCTATCTATCTTTTCTCGATAGTTTGTTTTTTTGGTTCGTCTCAGGTAGCTTTATTAAAGATATCGCTTTTGAAGACACTGAAGACAGTAACGATTTACAGCAAATTAGCATTATGTCCTCATCAACACACCTATGAAATAGAGTTTATTGTTTCTCTAATGTCACTGTCATTGTCATATTAATGACATACTTATTTTTAATCGACTATATATTGCTTAAATTTTTTATGAACGTCTTCTAAAATTATAATTTATGTACCATTAAAAATCATATACATATCAAATATGCAGGTTGTTAATTTGTTTATTACTCGCGGCAAGAGCTTTATGGTTGAAATATGGCAACCTCGGCCCGCTCGTCGAGACGACGCGACGCGACGAGACGAGTCGGCAGCTTAGCTTAATACTCATTTGGAATGTAGGCAATGTTGCCATTCTGTTCCCCAATAAGTAACCGTCCAGTTAACAATCTGTATACAGATTATCGCCTATCCCTGCAATGTGTTGGAGTTGAAGCCGAGTTAGAGACAACTAAATAACCGGTCCATGTCATATACATATCAAATACTTTTACTTTATAAATATATGGACCATGTATATTTCACATAAGTTCGTCTGTTAGGGAAATACTGGCGCAACAGCGTAACTCCAAAATTCCGAATATCGATTAGCCATTTCACCGGCTTGGCTTCACAGAATGCAGTTTGGAGTCAGTATGGTTACTTTATAAATATATGTTAAAAATGTACAGTTCATATACCTCGGTATGTTCTAACTAGCAAAACCGGTGCGTAAAACTATGCTCGCTAGCGTAGCTGAAGCAGCCGGCGTGTTATTACTCATCTAAAAAGTGTTATTAGCATGAATAATAAATTATAATACACGTTAGACCTGCTGAATATATCAAAAGATTTACCTTTTTATTGTTTTTAGAATTTTCACAAATTTCACTTACTAATACAACTAGGTAATAATTATTATAACAAATTTTTCGTGTACTCGCTATTGAAGCTCGTGTAATTGTATAACTCGGTTGTTTACGGGATTCTCCTATAGTGGCGGCACCATCAGAGAATACACTAAGCCTAGTTACTTTTTTTGTAAAAAAAAAACAGAATACAAACCCACAATGTTTACTAATCATGCTAAGAAATGAAATAATACAACTGTTTTTCTAAACTTGAATGTATTTATTAGAGAATAAACAGTTTTGTATTGTATGTCTACCAAAGTTATTTACAATATGCATTTAAAATGGTTCAATTTTATTTCATGTTTGTCATTTGTTATGTTAAAGCATTCTACAGGCCTGAATATTTGGATAACTAGCTATAGAATATCAAGCAGAATTGTGAACAAGACTCAACAATGAGACTCGTTAGTCTCATGCAGAAATATTTATTTAAAATTATTTCTTAATTATTTACCATGTAAACTGCTGTTCAATTTACAATTTTGTTTCATATTCAGATAATTATTATAGTCACTCACCAAAATATTCAATTCTATATGAAGCCAAGATATATAAAAAATGCCATTTGTTTCATTGGTAAATATAATTTGTGACAACATAAATTACTGCTAAATTATACATTAATGATATTAGTGTGTTACAGTAGTATCATTACTTAATTTTCATAATGGTTTCACTCATATATAAATGAAACAAGTTTAGATTGGAAAGTGCCCATAAGGACAATGTAAACACTATTTGGCGCTATTCTTGCAACGGTCGCGACCCAAAGCTTTTGATAATTTCGGATCAGTTCAGCTTTTTCCGAAATTATGTCGCCACATTATTTATTCAAATTTATTATTATTTTCTTTTAATTTTATAAATAAAATACAGTGTGTTGCACACAAGAAACTCTCTTTTATATAAGGACATGTATGTGAAACACTGGAAACCGACGTTATGCCGCGATCCACGATGGTTTTTGCAGTTCACAACACAGTTTTTTAGTTTATACCACTTTTTTACAATTATCACCAGTTTGAGTAAATAAAAAATTAAAAAGTAAAGATTTCAGTTGTCTCCTTTTTGCTGCCAGGGGCGCTATTCTGTACAATCGTCGGTATCGGCAAGTTACCGACAGCTATCGGTACGTACGGCCAATGAGCGTCGTGTTGATTGTTGTTGTCATAGTTACCGATCGGCTCTATGACGAGATATCTCGATCTCATCCGGCCTCGAACCGGCGTGAATGACCAGTGTGTGTCAATAGATTTTACACTTTTGCCTTTTTTGGACAACAGCAATTTGTACCGACGACTCTCTTTATATCTCTACTATGAGGTTGACACTGGAAACCGACGTTATACCGCGATCACGTACAAATTTTGCAGTTCACAACACAGTTTTTAAATTTATGCCACTTTTTACATGGCTTCACCATTTGACTATATAAAAATTTAAAAAGCTGTCGTAATTTACAGATACCTCCTTTTTGCTGCCAATAATCTGGACGGGGCTACTTTGTTTACGCGGAATCCGAACCGCGGTCCTCAGCCATATCATGGTCAATGGCCTACCGACTTTGCAAGTGTCTAAATCGACTCTTACTCACGAGATATCCGATCTCATCCGGCCTCGAACCGGCGTGAATGACCAGTGTGTGTCAATAGATTTTACACTTTTGCCTTTTTTGGACAACAGCACGATACAGAGTTTCGAACCGGTCACCCGTCCATCCACTAGTATCGTCTTACGTCGCTTAACTTCGGTGTTCTAATGGGAACCGGTGTTTCGACGTAGCTAAGCCGTTGCCCTTGAGTAAATAAAATTTAAATTAAACTCACTAGATGGCAATAATTACTTTCAGAATGGACGCTTTAAACACTGCGGTATTTTTTCAATGAGGGCGGTTTAAATTTTAAAAGATTTTATAATTTTTGAAGATTATGACTTTGACAAGAGAAAATTATTTCTGTTATTGCTTGGCGGTTGTTCTTAGCAACTGCTATAGCAGCGCCAGATCGCGTACAACGGTCGCGACCTAAAAAAATTATATATTTTGACGGACTGTCCAATCTAAATTTATTTCCTTTATCTATGGGTTTCACTATTATGTCTCATGTGACAGTTTTCTGAAACCTGGTTCACAATATGACATACCTACCTACCTCACAATAATTGGGGTGGCTGCAATAATCAGCCAGCCCAGGTAGCTCTAACAACGTTGCCATATAGTATGTACTGTTATATGTAGACACCTGATTACTAGTAGGTACAATTGGTCTATTTAAAAATATTATTTTCGTAAAAAAGTTGAGCTGCCTGGTTATTGCAGCCACCCTTTTAATTGTCTTCACCACTAATAGAAAAATAACCTCCACATTCAGAATAATACCGGTTATCCTGTATATGGAACATGTAGAGCCAGTCTATACATATATTAACTGATTTTAATAAAAGTCTCTATCTGTTATTTTAAGTATGTATTCATTCATTGCTATTTTCCTATATTAAATGTATTTTCTAGATACCTACTTGTTTAAAGTTTCTTAAAGTTTTTTTATGGAATTTTGATCAAATAGAAATTATGGAGTATTTACTTCTATCATTTTGACTCTATGAAACAGTGTTCAGAATAGAAACTATTTTTATTTGATTACTTTTTATATCAAGGATGCGCACTTAAGTTTATATCAAACGGGATTTTTTTTTATTATTGAGTTTATTAAAAAAATGTATATGGAATTTACCAAATAAAAACCAAATCCCATTATTAAATATGCTGAAGACTTGGCAGCATACTATGCGCACGCAATCCTTACTGCTTGGCGCTTGGCGTTAACTGAGTACTCTGACATGCGACGGACAAAAAACCGTTTTTTTAAATCTGAGGAGCGATCTTTCTGCAGCATACTTCATCCTTCAATATGCAAAAAGTAAGGTTAGATAACAAAATTATCATCCCATTTGTTTCCAAACATTTTGCACATCCTGTATATATTTATTAATCTTTTGTATTATAAATTTGAAACCTAACATTAAAAAAAAATTAATCATAAAGTATAAAAATTGGATATATTTAATATGTTATCAAAATAACCTTTTATTAAATAACCAGAACCTAAAATGTATTACTGTCAACAGAATTACTATTATAGTCAATATGACTTCAAAACTTTGTCTAAAGACATATGAAAAATTTAAGAGTGCTACTGAAACAAGATAGTTTACCAATGAAAGAAAGTTACACATTACTTATAACATAAAATTTTAATATGACAAACACTGACCTATCACACTCGTTCTGTAATCCTAAAGGTATCCGATTGACCAAATTCAGAGGCCAAATATTAATCATCAACATCTAAATTCTCTAATTCTTCATCTAGACCTTCTAAGTCTTCTTCTAAGAAAAGATTCTCATTGATTGGTACAGCAGTACTGGTAGAACTTTCTGCCTCTTGTGGTGCTGTACTACTCGAAGGCTCCTCCTGTTTAAATCTATCCTCTGTGGCAATAGTACCACTATCATCAACCTGAAAATTGTTTATTATTTTTATTAAATAATTATTATTTCAGGGTACTTACTTCAGAAGCATCAAAGTCGAGATTAATCTCCCTATATTCTATATTATCATCCTCCTCATTTTTATATAATGTTGAGTCGAATGCTTCATCTCCGTCTTCCAAATCATTTTGAGCAGCCATTTCTGGATTGAAACTAAACATTTCCCTTCCTACGAGTAATTACAGATTAATCATTGCATATTGATTGAAAATGGACATAATGTTATACCTGATAATCCAACTTGTCTTCCTGCTTTGAAATCACTTCTCTTCTTGTCCTCATCCTTCTTTGCAGCATCTTTCTTTTCTTGAATCTTCCTCTTTTTCCAAGCTAAAAATGTTTCTAAAGTAATCTGTAAAAAATATATTTATTTAAAATTCTATATGCATATTGAAAGATATTTAAGTACTCTAGTTTGTTTCGGGCCTAAAGCTGCACGTTCTTTTTCAATCAATTCCTCTAATGTTATTTCATCTTTCTTATCATCCCTTTTTCTATCCTTCTTTAAAACAAAGCCTGGTGGTAGGGCATGCCGATATATGCAACTTTCTCCAACAGGACATTGCCAAAACCAACCATATTTTGATTTTTCCACAGCTTCCAAAAAGTGTTTACAAATCTGCAATAATTATTAAATTTTCTGTTTTTAACTGTTTATATTTACTTACAATATCGGTTGTAGGCATTTTCCCACTTTTTCCATGTTTTTTCTCTATAACTTCTTTCAATTTCTCTTCGTCCCAATTTTCCATAGTGTCTTCTTCATCTTTGTCTCGCATATCGACATACAAAGACCGTTTTTCCGCTTTACGTTCTAGAGTTAAATCATGAGAGAATTTACATTTGTCCCCTTTGCCACATTGACCTTGTTTAAAAAATGCACATACTATAGACTTTGGATCGGCACCCTTCCCTGCTTTTTGCGTTTGAACAGGTTTAAACAAAGCGGCCAATTCTTTCTGTTCTTTTAGTTTTTGTTCCTTTTCTGACTTTTTCGTGCCCTCTTTCAGTGGATGAAGACCGCCTGATTTAACTTGCTTCTCGACTTGCTGAATAAACTTTTGTTGTTTTGACCCTTTCTTATTTTTTAAACCAAAGGTTTTATCCTTAAATAAATAAGAGAAAATTGGAAAAAATCATTTTTTTCATGAAATAACACAAAAACTGGAAATCAATGCATGAACTAACCTCGATAACTTTCTCTTTCTTCTTCTGTTCGGTTTTTTTACCGGGAACAGGAGCTTTCTTCGGTGGCATAATGATAAAATAAAGCTTTCGAACAAATTAGCAAATTACTATTTCAGAAATAGGCAGATAAAATAATTAGTTATCCACATGCAAAATAACAGCGGTTTCCACTTTCCTCATAACCTTGTTGTTGGTCACTTGTCACTTGTCATATGCTTTTAAGTTGTCATTTGTCATTATGACAATCAAACAGCTGACTATCACTGCTGCCATCCCATTTTTATTTTAATAAAATTTCTATACAAAAACTATTTAAAATATTTTTTATTAGCTTATTTTGTTATCCTTAAAACAAATATTTTTAAAATAGCATATACAATAAGCAGTTCAACAAATATTTTGTTTTAAAAATGCTTCGATATGTATAAAATTTGTTTAAAAACCAAAAAGAAAGAAGTGCAATATGAATATTGGAAATATATTGGCAACAATGAAAAAACAAAAAACAGAATCAAAATGGCCGTTGACAGTTCGTATATCATTTATTTTAATCAGAACAGAGCAAGTTGGTTTTAATCATTTTAATATATTTTAATAATTATAAGAATTAGCTTTATTAATTATTGCATTCAATATATACGTGATATAATGGTCCTAATATAGATATTTGGCTAATAATATTCAATGATGATAGTTCAAGAACCCGTTCAGGTAGCTCTTTTGTTTTAAAACACTAGTAATCAAGGTAATTAATAAAAATGTTTTTAGGCTGCTGTTTGGCATTGTTTAAACCACTACGACTATTCGGACGCTATATTTTTAGCAGAACGTTTATATGCCGAAGGTAATTATGACTAATTTTACTAGGCCACAATAAGTAAACAAAAAACATACCTGTTTTTTTTTAAACATACCTGTTTTTTTTTAGTTAAATCAGATGAGACCTTGTTTCTTTTGGCTACAGCTTACTATAGAAAAGGCCAAAAAGATCGTTGTTATCATTTATTAGAGGAGAGTTATGGAAATTCTACAAAATGCCAATTTCTGTTTGGAACCTGTGCCTATGAACTGAAAAAATATGCGGAAGCAGAGGCAGCATTGCTGGAAAGTGATAATTTTACTCAGAGATCTTTAGAGGATGTCGTTGGGGATTTTGGTGACCAGGCCGCTTTTGTTCTTCTTTTACTTGGAAAAATAGCAGCTAAAACTGAGAGAAAATCTAGAGCTATTGAAACATGGAAGAAAGCTCTTAAAGTAAATCCGTTCTTGTTCTCGGCTTTTGAAAACCTGTGTGGCATTGGTGAAAAGCCTATTGCAAGTAATATTTTTCAAATTAGTAATATAGAAAACATGTCAACATGTCATGGTCATTGTGTTAGTAATGTGGAAAGTGTAATAATATCTAATGAACCCCATGAAAAATGTGGAAAATTAGAAACATCATTAGAAACACCTCACCATGTAGCAAATTTTAATCCAAGGTAAGTAATATCTAATATTAAAATCTGAATAAATATTCTTTCTTTCCATGTAGCATCAAATATAGTCAAAAAGATTTCTGTACTCCTGAGGAAAGTCCATTAGCTAGTCCTCTGTGTATGTCAGGTATTAAACCAATCACTCGTTGCAGGAATTTTAGAATAGGGGTTGATCTTACAGTTCCAGAGGTAATCAATCATTAATATAACAATAACGATACTAAACTAAGGTTTTCAGAGCCCAACTTTTGGACATATTGTTGACTGTAACTTTGGAGAATACAATAGCACTCCTAATATTACGAACTTTTCAAATCAACAACCTATAGTTAAGAAACTCCTTGCCCAAAGGCAGGTTAGTTAGATTTTAGTTTATATATCTAAATATAAGACATGCGCATGCCCCATCTCCCGTGGGATCAGTAGAAGTTGTGACCAGATAGACTTGCTAGTGATTTTGCCAAAGTGGTACCATTCTATTTGTTTATTTATCCTAAACCTGTTTTTTTTGTGGGTGATTAATAAAGCAGCATTTAAGCTGGCCAGCAATGGGAAGAATGGTCCTGTTATTTTTGACTAATTAGTTTTTTTTCAACTAATTGTTTTTTTTTCGAGAACTATGTTAATATAAAACAATATTATCTATATCATAATTTATTGCAGATGGAGGTTGATCAATTAAATAGTAGACATAAAGAAGCACTGTTGCAGAATTGTAAACCAGTGCTTAGTCAATCTTCAAATGTGCCAGTATCTCCTTCACTTCCATTAGCTCAGCAACCTAGTCAAAATGTTAGGCGGAGTTCTAGATTATTTCGGTAATATTTGTCCTTTTTTTAACTAACCTGTAGAGCTGATTGATACTAACAGATAAGTAATTGATTGCAGGGTGCAAAAAATATAAATAAAAACATACCATAGTTATTTATTTATTATATTAGTTTGAATTAGAGATGAGCAAAACTGTATAATAAATATTAAAATCGCAGCGACTGTAACTTGCGATTGCGATTTTAATATTTAAATATTAGATATACAGACCGAACCACCGTAGTAGTAACATAGGCAGAACCGGACGAATTTGCGTATACCCGTCCGCCGGATAAGAAGCAGGCGAAAAAATGTAATAAAATAAAAATAGGTAGATATGTGATAAGAATGTTTCAGAATTTGTATTTATTCGTGTTTTAATAGCCAAAACGAATTCATAGATTTTCGCGACAGTTCTCGTGTAAAATTTATTTTTTAAGTAAAATAATGGATGTTTACGAAGTTCGTGAGAAAATTCAAATTGTAAAATGGTATTTCCAAAATAGGTCTTATCGGAATATACAAACAATTTTTCCACAAACTTTTGTAAACAGGCCAATTCCATCTTTACCTACTGTATCAAGAGTTATTAATGATTTTGAAACACATGGGTGCGTGTTCCCACAAAAACACAAAAGCCTGATGTGTTGATTAATGAAGAACAGGAGTTAAAGCAAGTGTTCATTTGTGCTACCGCGGATCAAAATCCCACGTTTTCAAGTAATCAAATTGCTGAGGTGGTTGCCCTGCCCACAATGTCCGTATTGTTCAAAAATATTTGAACAATACTTTTCCCAACCGTTTAATTAGTGGATATGGAACTATTTTGTGGCCCGCTAGATCACCAGATCTTTCTCCCAATGACTTATTTTTGTGGGGTTATGTAAAATCCAAAGTGTATGGTCATAATAGGGCTAATAATCTGGATGAGCTTCAAGTAAAAACACGAGAGGCTTTCCAAACTATTAGCCCTAATATGTTGTGACCAATGTCAGACGGGGATTTTACGACCGCCTAGGCTTCTGTCTAGCACAAGAAGATGGTCTTTTTGAACACTTGTTATAATTTTTTCTTATTTAGAGTAATATTTTATTTTTTTTGGGTTTAAAGAATTTATTTATTTTTAGTTTTGGCTGGTAAACACACTCAAATAATAAATATTTAAGTATTTTCATTTTAAATGTTACCTTCAGTGAAGGTAAACACTTAAAATGGAATGTATGGACTAGGAAAACTCCTCGCGTCGTATTCCTAGTCCGTCACGACCGACCCGTCCAAGCACAACTGCAACTGCGTACAGCCTGACCAATACTGCCCTGAATCTCGAGTACGAACGCAAAACGGGTAAACGTAAATTCGTCCGGCAAGTTGCTATGTTACTAGTAGCCTGGTCTTCTCTGTATAATTGTCTGTGTATGTATCTACCGGGTGCGTCTCACAAGTGGATCACCCCTATAACTTTTTTATTTCTTCAGATAAAAAGACGTGATTTGGTATGTTAGTATATGACATAAATTAGGATTGATTGACGGATTTAATTGTTTTTGGTCACTTCCTGTTTCACCGGAAATGACTACAACTTTTGATTTTTAAATGGCACCCTCGATATATTTTTACTTTATTCAATAGTAAATGACATTCGGAATAGAATGACATGTCATATGTGAACTTTTGACATTTTCGCATATGGAAAATGACATTTTAAATAGAATGGCATATTTATCATATGTCAAATTTTGACATTTTCGCTTAAAAACAAATCGTATTTTAAATCTCAATCTAGAGTGTCGTAGCTGTGTTACAAAACACTAATTTTTAATCAAGGAACATTGGAAAAATTGGATTTGACCGTCTAATGTTTTTTGTGTCCTGGCCAGTTAAAAGATGCCCAAATCGTATTTTTAATCATATCTCAATTTTTTCAAATGGAACAAGGGTCGCTCATTAGCATATTTCGAAGAAGCATTTTTTACGAATAATTTGGTACCACACACATGGTATTTCGAGTCAAATGGTCGTTATGAATCGCATGTTACAATGTCAAATAAACCATAGCGAAACTCTCAAAAGTTGACATATGATGTCATTCTGTTCAGAGTGAATTCTATGGAATAAAGTAAAAAATAACGAAGCTGTCGTTTAAAAATCAAAAGTTGTAGTGTACTCATTTCCGGTGAAACAGGAAGTGATCAAAAACAATTGAATCCGTCAATCAATCCTAATTTATGTCATATACTAACATACCAAAAGTCGTTTTATTATCTGAAAAAAATAAAAAACTTATAGGGGTGAGCCACTTTTGAGACGCACCCGGTATAGCTGAACAATTCAAAAGAGTTAATAATAATCAGTAGTTTAGTTTTTAAGTTTTTTTTAACATCTGCAACACATTATAGGTGTTAAAATTTTATACAGGGTGTTTCAAAACAAATGCGAAAAACTTCAGGGGGTGATTCCTTGTTCAAAATAAAGGGTAGTTTGCTTCATAAACGTTGGGTCAAAAGTCAACCATTAGGGAGATATTGCGGTACAAAGATGACGGAAAAATAATGTTTTTATTTTTTATCTTGAAAACGAAAAGAGATAGACTAATAAAATTTTATGGAAGCATTACTGTTATGAAAACACACTTTCTGGTAATTTTTTTACTTTTTTAAAATGAGCGGAAGGGGTTGAAATAAACTACCCCTATCATTCTTGTTAACAAAATTTAAAGAAACATCTTATCAATCACATGCAAAAAAATTAATTTGGATAGTTTAGTTTGTTTAGAAACTTTTTTATCTCTGGTATTTTTTTGATAAAACTCACCGATTTGAAATTAAAAAATAAAATGTAAAGCATTACATGTCAGGACAAAAAAAATTTTCTGATAAAGAATCTAGTGGGCTGCTGTAATTTTTTTAGGAAAAAATCTAGTCGGCCGCTGTTACTTTTTAGGATGTTCCTAATATTATTTTATTTGACATTACTCTACTGCAATACGTTATTATCTAGATGATTATTATTATCGTTATCACTAGATTCTTAATCTAAAAATGTTTTTTGTCCTGACATGTAATGCTTTACATTTTATTTTTAATTTCCAATCGGTGAGTTTTATCAAAAAACACAAGAGGTAAAAAGTTTCTAAACAAACTAAACTATCCAAATTAAAGCATTTGCATGTGTTTGATAAAATTTTCTTTAAATTTCGTTATATATATATATAGGGGTATATATATTTATATATATATATATATATATAGTAAAAAAAATACCTGAAAGTGTGTTTTCATAACAGTAATGCTTCCATAAAATTTCATTAGTCTATCTCTTTTCGTTTTCAAGATAAAACATAAAAACATTATTTTTCCGCCATTTTTGTACCGCGATATCTCCCTAATGGTTGACTTTTGACCCAACGTTTATAAAGCAAACTACCCTTTATTTTAAACAAGGAATCACCCCCTAAAGTTTTTCGCATTTGTTTTGAAACACCCTGTATATGCTGCAACTGTTGCAAGTTGAAACAACACATACCTACTCTTTTTACAGATCTCAATTATCTAATTCTTTACCCATTTCTAAAAATCTAAGAGAATTTTTTTAAGATAGCTCATCCCTCACTCCTTCGTAAAAAAATGCTTTTTCTAAATAGGCCATGGAGCCACCCTTGTTCCATTTGAATACTTGAAAAAATTGAGATATGATTAAAAATACGATTTCGGCATCTTTTAACTCGCCAGGGCACAAAAATCATTAGACGGCCAAATCCAATTCTTCCAATGTTCCTTGATTAAAAATTAGTGTTTTGTAACACAGCTACAACACTCTAGATTGAGATTTAACTGGCCAGGAGAAGATACGAAAAACAAGACGATCAAATCTATTTTTCAAGGCATCTTGATTGAAAATTAGTGTTTTTAACACAGCCATGACATTCTAGATTGATATTTAAAATACGATTTTTTAAGCGAAAATGCCAAATGTTGCCATATGATATGCCCATAGATAAAAGAAAATAATCTTCTATTAAGATAGATATGAAACTTATTAGTAAAATTTTGGTCAAAGCGCCCCTCCGTGTTTTTAGTAGAGACTACATTTAACCCAGCGCCTTCGCCTTTTCTGCTGTAAATATTTTTTATGTTTATATTTGATTTCAAAGGATTTAGTTTTAAAGTTACACTGATATATTAGTATATCAGATATATATATATATATATATATATATATATATATATATATATATATATATATATATATATATATATATATATATATATATATATACAGTTTATTAAATTAAAGTTTACAGTTACAGTTTATTAAATATAAATTTTGACTACAAGGTAGAAAGTAAATCACAATATTTGATAAAAATTATAAGTATACCATTTTTACAGTTAATAAATAATAAAACTATTTCTGACTATGATATTTAAAATTTAGATCGATGGAATATTAAAAAACATACCAGTAATTGCAGACGCAGGCCCAAATTCAATAAAAATCAAAATTTTTCCTGCGAAAATCGGGCTTTTTTCACAGAAAAGGTATTTTTTGATTTATCAACAATCATTGTCAAGTTGACAATATACAGGGTGTTTTCTAATTAGTCTAAAAAATTGTGGTGTGATTCCTCATGTGGTCTTAAAACAATTTTTATATAACCATTAGGTCTAAAGTACTTCCCCTTTCTAACTTTATTTGTAACTAGTTTTCTCAAATTAAATCCATTGCTGCACTCTGTATTTACTCGAATTGTACCAATTAAACAGTGGCCTCTTATAATTTTACAGATTTCAATCATTTTTCAGTTCCCATTCAGTTAAGGAGAACAATAAGTCACCCACTAGTGCAAAATTTGCTACACCTAAATCGCCGTCTCGAAAAACCAAACAAAGATTAGCAAATATCAATAAAAATTTAAGTAGTAATGAGATAATAACCAAAAATAAGGTAAATATTCCTTAATTTTCATTTCAGAAAATTAGTATTATTATATAAAGTGTTTAACGTACTTTGTAGGATATTGAACAAGAAAAAACTGAAACGATTACCTCCCAAAGCAAAAATGAAAAAAGTACAACACAAAACAGTAATAATAGTTATTTGCAGCATGCCCTCAATCTTCAGAGACAGAGTGCCGAAGGTCTTATGGCTTTACTCAGAGATATTGGACAAGCATATGCTGATTTGAGTAGTTACGATTGTCAATCGGCAATACAGGTAAGAATTACCCAAGTAGCATTTTTGGACACATTTTAGGTAATGTTTCTAATAATCGGTGTCTTGACACAAAATGGAAACGGTATGCCACAAATAGGAAACATTTTCAAAACCTATATATTTTATATGGCTTTATTACATGTGTTTCCAATGTGGTGACACTAGCCGTTTCCCCTGAAATGTTTCGATACGGAATCAAAACTTTTAGAGGTAATGTTGCGAAACATTTTCTGCAATTTGTGTCCAAGATGTTCCCATTTTCAGCAGCCACTGTTTCTGAATGTGAAGAAATCGAATACCATACTAAAATAGTCTGTGGGTGGATTTCAAAATGAAAAGAACCATCAAGAATGTCGACCTCCGCCAAAATTTTTTGTCTTAAAATCTTTGTTTTTGAGTTTTCTCGCGCAAGAAATGTCTGGCAAAAGCAAATTCATCGTTTAGTTTAATATTTTATTTTATGGGGGAATTTTAATTCATTATTTTATAAAATTGACATGGAGTCGGACACAAATCATCTACATTATGTCATATTTGTGTCTAAAAAGAGAGAAACTTGTGTTTCGAAAACGAATCGACAATAAACGGAAACTTTGTTTCCAAAATGTTTCGATTTAGCGCTATCTGTGTAAAAATTTCGAATTAACAACGCCAAACTTCTAGTCAAAATAATTAAAACATTTTATTTTACTTATTATAAAAACATAAAAACCTGTATTCCATTGTGGAAAAAAGGGAAAAGAAAGTTTGCTTGTAATTTTTTTTTATCTTCTGTTGGGTATGGGTATTGGCTGTTATTACATTTATTCCTAAAACAAATCATCTGTGTAATGCATATAATAAATTATTATAAAATCGCATAAGAAAAATATCTGTATTTATACTCACCATATGTCCTTTCTGCTTTTTTAATTATAGTATTATAAAAACTTGAAGAATGCTTAAATTTTACTTAGAAGGAAATCCAAACAATAAAGTAAGGTTATGTTCTCATATTTACCAGAATATTAAATAAATTATGGAAACTTTTCAGGCACAAAACGGGTACGAAATCTTTGTAAATATGAGCCACATCCGTTTCTTAAAAGTTTCGAAAAATTTGTGACACTAAGATCTTTATTGTTATAGCTTATGTAGCAAAACCATATTTCAATAAAATGTTTTGAAACAAAAAGTGATTTATGTTACGAAACATATGTATGAAAAATGTGTCGAATTAATTCCAAAAATTTTTATTTTGGCTTGACACAAACACCATCATTGTTTCGAGACTGTTTTGAAATGTTTCTCAGCAGAGATTTTGTTTCGATTTTGTGTCTGAAAGTGCTACTTGAGTTGTCTTTCTCATAAACTGTAGATCGCCAATTTAGAATGACCAACTAGTAATAAGAAGAATTAAACATAACTTTTATTTAAATATCTCTATAGGACTGTAACTCTCTTTTACAGAATTTCCTAAATATTCCGTTAAATCAGCTGAACACTACGTGGGTGTACTGCCAACTGGGCAAGGCCTACTTCGAAATACCGGACTACGAATCGAGCGCCAAATACTTTCAGAAAGTGCACGACCAGGATCCGTACCACCTGGACTATATGGACACTTACTCTACCGCCTTGTGGCACTTGCAGAAAGAGGTAGCCCTAAGCGCGCTCGCGCGCGACCTCGTCAGCACGGACAAGGAGCATCCGGTCACTTGGTGCGTGAACGGTAACTGCTTCTCGTTACACAAGGAGCACGATACTGCTATCAAATTCTTCCAAAGGGGTGTACAGGTAAGGGTTGTTTTTTCTATTATTTTATTGAGAAGTGTTGAAATGTTACCAATATGTTTTTGGTAAATTGAGAGTTATGGCAACGATAGGCGGTATTAAGGAAGGCGTTGTTTGACAATTTTGACGGTAAAAGTGTCATAATAATGTGTGGTTTTTGAAATAACCGTCTTTAAACTAAATTTACTGCTTAACAAGATTCCTCTTGTAAATTTTGGTAGACTGAATTTTGAAGAAGACACTATTATACAGTACATCCTGTTAAAAAAATTTAAATTCTTTGAATTTAGAAATTTGAGACGGCTTTGACTCTCTACTGTACTGTTATTACAGTCAATCTGGCATCTAAAAAGCTCTAGACTCCCATTAAATTACCCCCGCTGTCATGCATACTTTGCCAGTTGTAAATGGTCCACTGGAAAAGCTTAAATTCGAAAATTCGTATCCCCCACCCCACCGTTTTTGAGAAACTGAAAAAAATTTTCGATTGAATTTTCTGACTGAACCTTAGGTCCCACAGAAAATTTTATGAAATAAAAAATGAAGAGAATTCAATTATCTACATTTTCATGTCTAAGTAACAAACCTCTAAAACCTACGGGGACAAAGTTAAAGGGCCCTAGTCAGTCAAACGCAGTTTTTTGCTTTTTCCCGGGTGAAACATTTTTTTTTACCGTATCAAAGTTTTTAAAAGTAAAAAGCATAAACAACCTATCAAATTGATGTGTAACTTTTTTTTACATTTTACTTTTACGAGATATATTGCATTTATTCCCACAATGTGTATGCAACTTTCATCAAAATCTGTACTTACAGGTGGATCAAGATTTTCCGTACGCCTATACACTTCTGGGACACGAATATATTAGTACTGAGGAATTAGACAAAGCCATGGGATGTTTTAGAAACGCCGTCAGACTGAATCCAATGCACTACAACGCCTGGTTCGGCATGGGCACCATATATTCGAAACAGGAAAAGTACCACTTGGCCGAAATGAATTACGCCAGGGCGCTTTCCATTAATCCTCAGTCCTGTGTTATTTTGTGCCATATTGGAATCGTGCAACACGCTCTTAAACAGGTGAGTGCAATCAATGTATCGTTATTTGTTAGGTTACCTCGAGTTTGTTTTTGGCATTGAAGAAAAAGACTAAGGAAGGAGTATAAAACTATAAACAACTTTTTTCAAAATCTTAATAAATATGGGCGCTCCTCGACATTTCTAATAATAAATGTCAAATTTGACAGGTAAACCAAGTCTTTGGGCGTATTCCGTTGCTTACCTTGGTTATGGTTTTATGTTCCGTTTCTATCGGTTTCCTGAAAGTTTTCTTATTACGGAACACGGTTCCTGAAAAAATCGGTTATAACTCTCACCAAACTAACCAGCGCGAGAGGGCTGGTTTTTCTGGTTTTGTTTGTCAATCAATGTCATTTATGTGACAGAAATCAAGCAAATATTGGAAGTTCGTGTGAAATTCTCATTTAATTTCTAAAATTTGGAAGCAATGGAGGTAGGCAGTAAAGGTAAATAAATTTCATTAACTAAATAGAATGACTTTTTAGGACAATTTAAACTTACCATGCAGCCATTGTTTCTTAAAGTCAGGAACATTTTAAAGAAAACATAAAAAACAAGACAACAAGTAATCGTGAATGTTTTGTAAGCTATAAAAATATAAATATTGATAAGATTTGTTTATTTATTATTGATCTGTTTTAATATTGGACCTGCAAATCTTCACTTGAGCTGTCGAACGAGTTTAACAGTTTATTAATAAAGTACTTTTCAATATTAAACTCCATTGAAAAGAAGGTGCAACCGTAAAAGCAGAGAATAGGTACATTAAAAATGCATAAAAGATAAATTTTATAATAGAGGTATTGAAATTTAGAAAACGTCAACATTTGACGTTTCCAGTATTTTACCAAATCGTTCCGTATCAAACCGATGTTTTTCAGGAACCGCTCTTTACCGTAGTTTACCGGTCTGGTTCGCCTGGTTTTGCAACGGAATACAGCCTTTGTCGCAACCAAGCGCGGTTTTAGGGGAGGGGTAATGAGGGTAAGACCCCACTAGACCGATCAAACTTCAAAAAAATAATTTAGTAAATTTTACATTACTTAAACGTCAATAAAAAATTTTTAATGTACGCAATTACACTTCCCGTAATATTTCGTACATTATAAAAATTATATAGATCATACTATGAAACCCACAAGTAAGCAACGCGGATGTCAAAGTTAGTCGGAAAGTGATGGGAACTATTACCTATTCCTTTAGAGGAACTAGAATTCCCACCTTCAGGGTTAGGTACATTTTCTATTATAATGTGTTGAACAATTTTCCTAGAAAATATTAGTTTAAATTGATTACTTTGTTTTTTAGTCCTTTTGTATTAGAGTAGTTTTTAAATTAAATAATTGAAAAAGTTTTTATCGAAAAAACACATTCCCTTAAGAAGTATTTAAAATAAGTTTAAAACAAGTAATGGTGTTTTAAAAGCACAAAAAATCGACTTTTTTTTTTCACTTTATACTATGAAAAAAAGGTTGCTAGACACCAAGGACTGTATATATTCTAAAGGATTCTTCGATCGCGTCAAATCGCCGCTGTCGTAGTCGCCGTGGAATGCTACGTCACGCAGGGACCAGCGCTCCACAGTGCGGCGGATGGTTATTCTATCGGGACAAAATCTCAAGAGCAATGTTTGGGACTTAAAATCTAAGAACGTAGCAAATGGTCTAATATATAGCAACTATATGGTTAAATTTATTTATTTATTAACAACTTAATTTATTAATAAATAAATACAAGATAATAAAACTATGATATTATTCGTACATGACACACAAAAACCGTATTGTAAACTATTGCCAAATACATAAAATTATGATATCAGGTGAAATACTTACAAAAAAACTTTAGCAGTTATTTTTAATTACTTTGTAATCTTGTGATACCCTCTATATTTTATTTTAAAAAATTATATTTTATTTTAAAAATAATAATTAAGATAGATATTTTAATTTTAACACTCGGTAATTGTAAATTCATATATAGTAAGTATGTAAGACAATTTTTTAAACTCAGTGCCTTTTGATGGAGTTGTTTTGTTTTTATACTATCCGATTGAAATGAAACTTTTTGGGCATTCACCTGTTAAGCTTGAACTCCCTGTGACTGTGACTACCTGTGTTGGTAACTCAAAAGATTTACATCATTCAATATATCGATATTTGAAAAAAGTGAAAGTTTGATATCTGCAGAACAAAAGCAAGAAGGATTTTAACAAGTAATATACGTATAGTAGAAAAGTACATACCTTTGGCAATCTTCAACATAATTTGGCTTTGGAATAAAATGTATAAGCACTTTTGTTTTCGTATGATCTCTGCCTTGCTGAGCAGAAAACGACCAAATTTGGTTGATAAAAATGTATCGAAATACAAATAATATTTATGCATTTTTATATCAATTGGAATGTATACTATTTATTCTTACAGTACACATTTTTTGGCTTATTTCTAACCAAACGTTTTTGTCCCGCTAAATTTATCTTCCAACGCACTGTGCGCTCATCCGTCAAATGCAAAAATAACTGTCACTGTCTAAAATCTTTAGTGCCAACTTCAACTCGGTCCCCATATGACGTAAAAAAACTGACAGTGCAGGAAGACAGGAATCGAACTATCCTTATCTCTATAGTATCCTTGGGTAGACACCTCAAAAAACTTCTTTCCAAGTATGAATTCTTAATTTTAATAGGAAGGTCCGCCGCCTTTTCAGTTTTCTATTTTTTCCTTATTAATTGAAAGAAAAATCCATATCTCGGTATCTACTGTTTGGAAAAAATATCTCGTCTTGTATATGTGTATTAAATTGAATTCTCTAAAAAAAAAGGTCTCTTACAATTTTTTTGTAAACCTCACCGTTCGAAAGTTATTAAAGGTTGAAGTTTGATTATTTTAAGGCAGTTTTCTTTTTCCTTTTGAATTTTATAACTCGTTCCGAGCAGTTTTAGTCCATTTCACTAGTTCGAAAAAGTAGCAAAATAAGCGTTCGGTATTTAACGTTTTATATAAAACTGGCTAGGTATTTTTACACAAATGACGAAGGAAATTAAAGATAAAGGATTATACTATATCCGTATTGTAGCACATTTTTAGACAACTTTTTTATTTTTAAGAGTTTGATGGTCAAAATATTCTATTTAGAGTTTGATGGTCAAAAACAAAATATTCCTTATGTTTGGACTAAGTTTTCTCGAAAATAAAGACATAATTTAAAATTCCGTTACAATACGGAAATAGATTGAAATTTTGTGATTACAGTGATATATAATTTATACGGTTTTGTAACAAATTGCTCGCTATTTTGTGGCAAATGCTGAAGCTCTGCAAACCTTAATCAAGTATTAATCAAAGCAGGTGTGTTTGGAATTTTGAATGTGGCTTAACACGACAGGATCGGGCTAAGCCTTATTAATATATATTTCTTTCGGTCAAACATCCGCTTTACCCGACCCCAGAGAGCGACCTGAACAGTACAGCTTAATAGACTCTTAACAAAAAATCATTGTGATACGCGCTGATAACAGACCTGATTAGAGACCTTTTTTGTAGAGAATTCAGCTTCCTACATATATATGAGAAATATTTTTTTATACAAAATACAGGGTGAGTCCTGTAAGTCGGTCATGCTTTCGAGGAATGATAGGGGACATCGAAATATTAATTTTGATATGGCACACTATGGACCGGAAATGCTTCTTACGCAAGATACAGGGTGTTAAAGTTTTTGAAAAATTAAAGATATTCTTTAATACTTTTTTAATAGTTGAAGGTATCGTTATAAAAATTTATTATATGAGTCTGCCTAACAGAGACACTATAAATTTAAAAAGAAGAGGTTTTAGTTTCAACCAGTGGCGTAGTTGTAATACGCATCGGGTAATATTTTCAAAAAAAATAGTACGCCACTGATAAAAATAAAAATTTCGGAGTTTTTTTTATTTACTCGGTTTATTTCCAAGAAAAAATGTCTCTTGCAACTTTCTTCTATCTAACACCATTTTGTCACAATTTAAAAAAAAATATTTTTTTAATGAGAACCTTAAATATGCGAATTATTATAACTACCTTAAAACTACGAATTTTATTATTAACAATAAAAAAAATTCTAGTTTAAATTTATAATTTTTAAAAAATGTATTTAGAGCTAATAGTAAAAAGTACTAAAGTTACCCAAGATGAAGGGAGCTAACGATGCACATGTGTTTCTGCCCTCTAGTTATAATAATTCGCTGTATTTAAGATTATCATTAAAAATTTATTTATTTTTAAATTGTGACAAAATGGTGTTAGATAGGAGAAAGTTGCAAGAGACATTTTTTCTTGGAAATAAACCGAGTAAATAAAAAAACTCCGAAATTATTATTTTTATCAGTGGCGTACTATTTTTTTTTTGAAAAAATTACCCGATGCGTATCACAGCTACGCCACTGGTTGAAACTAAAACCTCTTCTTTTTACATTTAAAGTATCTCTGTAGCACTATGTAGATTCTTATAATGAAATTTTATAACGATACCTTTAACTGTTAAAAAACTATTAAAGAATATCTTTAATTTTTCAAAAACTTTAACACCCTGTATCTTGCGTAAGAGGCATTTCCGACCCATAGTGTGCTATATCAAAATTAATATTTCGACGTCCCCTATCATACCTCGAAAGCATGACCGACTTACAGGATTCACCCTGTATTTTGTCCAAATAGTAGATCCCGAGATATGAATTTTTCTTTCTAAAATTAAGAAAAAAAAAGAAAAATGAAAGGCAGAGGACCTTCCTATTAAATTAAGAGCTCATACTTGGAGAGAATTTTTTTGACAACCAACCTTTTTTTCGGAGTATAAAGTGAAAATAAAAATAGTCGATTTTTTTGACTCACCCTAATGACTAGTGTATTTCATTATAAATGCTTTGTATTATTTTAGACTGAAAAGGCGCTTGCCACATTTAACAAAGCAATCGCTAGTAACCCCAAATCTCCACTGTGCAAGTTCCATAGAGCGTCGGTCTATTTCGCCTTGGGCAGGCACGTCGAAGCTCTCAAAGAATTAGAAGAACTCAAAGAAATCATACCCAAAGAATCTTCAGTTTATTACCTCATAGGTATACACCCAGCTTGATTTGTCTTTAGTAACAGTACTAATTTAATATTATTCGTTCATTTAGGGAAAGTGCATAAAAAATTAGGCAACACCGATTTAGCGTTGCAACACTTCAGCTGGGCCACAGACTTAGATCCGAAAGGAGCCAGTAACCAGATTAAGGAGGCGTTCGATCCCGCCATCGGTCGAAATACCGTGGATCCGGAGGAAAGTCCTTTATCGCCAGCTCTGGACGAGTATCCATCGGAAAGTAATTCGGGTAAGCCATCATATTAGTGTGTTCACTAGTCTGTTCAATGGAAGAATATTTGACATTAGTGCCAGTATCTGATATTTTAGTTTAAAAGTACTTAGTCTTTTCTGTCGTTATTTTACGTATACCGTGCTGGCAACTGTTACTTTTGGGTCGGTATTTACATCTGTGGAAGTAAATCGCATAGGGATCTTATTAAGTCGGAGTGAGAGAAATGCGACGGTGTGCTGTTGCGGCGTTGCCGGTACGCCTTTCCCTATCAAGTAAAGTAAAATCACGATCGCACACCGCTTATTTTTAAACTTTTTTTCGAAAAACGAAACGATATCGTTAGAGTATCCATTTTTTTATAACGAAAAAACGGCTGTAATCGCGATAATTTAAAAACTAAACTTTTTAACACATAACACACTATAACTTAAGACCCACTTTAGATATTGAAACTTTTTTTTTATTTTGAAGATCGGATCTTTTACCACATGCTTAAATAAGAAAAATTCGACAAGGTTGTTTTTTTCAAAAATTTTAAACAACCCATCCATTTACTTTTAATTCATAGCAATTTTCAGCAATCGTGTAACTTTTTTATTTATACAGATTTTCACATACAGGGTGGCCCATCGAAAACGTTCCGCAAGGCATAACGGCCAGGGTATTTGTTTTTTCAAAAAATCCAAAAACACGTCAGTTTTGTTTGCAAGGGGAACAACTTTTGCCCCAAAAATGATTGCAAAATCTTCAACCCTCTAAGCGGGGGTGTCATCCCCCAACTTTTTTCAAATGGGAAGGGGAGTCAAGTGGCGCCGCAATAAAAAGAGTTTTCTATTCTCTATATTTCCCCGCTTTGTTTTTGAATTTCGGTCGAGTCATTGAGAAAATCTGAAGGATTGAAATTTGAAAAGTTTATTTAAACATTCGTCAGAGTAAATGATAAGGATAAATTCCTTCAACCAATTTGCTGTTTTTTCTTATTATTTCTAGATGTTTACGCATTTTTTCACTTGCCACAAGGTTGAACGATCAGGTGCGGTGGTTGCTAGATAGTTGTTCTGTGACTTGTGCATTGAAGTTCTTTTCAATATCGTTAAACTGACCCACAATAGGATTTCCAAAAATACCAGCCCACACGTTCAATTTCTGAGGGTTTTGTGTGTGCACCTTGTGAAAAACCCTGGGGTTGTCCTCAGCCCAATACGGACAGTTGTGCCAATTAACTACACCGTTCAAAAAGACCACTCATCCTAAAAACACACATTAAATAGGAAATTATTATCATTCGCCACTCGTTCACTCATAGTTTCACAAAATTGCAAGCGACGATCAAAATCGTCTTCGTTACGTTCTTGTACCAACTGAATTTTGTACGGGTGGAACTTGTGTTTTTTTAATATCCTTTGGACACTTGTACGATTCACGTCGGTCTCATTGGCTAATTTTCTTGTACTCACAGCGTAGTATCCATGGCAACTTCACCCTATACGAATACCTCCATAGCTTCATTTACTACAGGATTTTTCCTCAGCCTCTTTTTATTTTATTTTATTTTTATTATATTATAAACTAGTTTCGCGAAACTTTGCTACTAACTCGCGAACAATTTTGCCATAAAGATGTTTGTCAGGATGGCGTTCATTGAATATCTGCGCAACCCGATTGCCACATTCATTATTTTTAACATAAAGTTCAATTATTTCTAATTTTTCTGCAAGTGATTACACCATAATTGTTAAAAAGTTTAACGATATTGAGAAGAATTCAACGCACAAGTCACAGAACAGCTATCTAGCAACTACCGCACCTGATCGTTCAACCTTGTGGCAAGTGAAAAAATACGTAAACATCTAGAAATAATAAGAAAAAACAGCAAATTGGTCGAAGGAATTTATCCTTATCATTTACTCTGATAAATGTTTAAAAAAACTTTTCAAATTTCAATCCTTCAGATTTTCTCAATAACTCGACCGATTTTCAAAAACGAAGCGGGAAAGTATAGAGAATAGAAAGCCCTTTTCATTGCGGTACCACTTGACCCCCCCTTCCTATTTGATAAAAATTGGGGAATGACACCCCCGCTTACGGGATTGAAGATTTTGTCATCATTTTTGGGGCAAAAGTTGTCCCCCTCACAAACAAAATTGACGTGTTTTTGAATTTTCTGAAAAAAAATTACCCAGGCCGTTATGCCTTGTGGAACGTTTTCGATGGGCCACCCTGTATTGTCAGCGAAGAAAATATAGCAGAAATATTAAGAAAGTTTTTGAAAATACTACAATCAATTTATTTCTAATAGATTTCGAGATATCGATTTTTGAATTCAGAGTTCTAATAGCGCGACCACTGTCCCAATGAACACCAACTCAATTCCACTTATTATTACCAAAAATGCAAGTGTTTCTAGCTTGCACTTCAAATTTTCAAGATATAGGGAAAATTACAACGACTCGTTAATATATAAACAAATAAAGTATCACGAGACGCAATTAAATCGTGAAGCTGAACGCATGATTTACACCTTTCCCTAGAACTTTAAGTCTGACAGAGGTACTGATTGGATCGGCCGCTCGAATGCGACAAATCTGCTATATCTTCTTCCACGTCTCTTAGCAATATGTACACAGTTTCTAGGTTTATTTCATGCGTTTGGCAACGTGTTTACTGTTCTCTCTTTGTTCTTATTTATTATTACCATTAACGCATTGCACTCTTCTTACATACGGAAATCTCGACCCAAGACTAACCTTTGCCAGCCCTTACTATGCGGTATTATGTATATGTTACAGTAAAAGTTGGAAATCAATGATCGTTAACGATTACTAGTAAAAGCTCACCATTCACTGATTTGCTAAGATTACGCCAGTAAAAGTTCATCAGCTTTTTTTGAAACCAACTTTTACTAGTGAATGCTAGCATTCCCTGGACGATAGCAGTGATTTTGAAAGATTCAGTTAGCGCGGTTGCCACATGTTGTAAAATATAAGGACAAATAAGGATAAGTTGAATAATAGGTAATATAAAGATATCATTAAATTGGGCTAAACGTTGCCGACGTTGACAGACATCTGGCGTAAATTCGCTTTGTTTTTAGTGGTTATATATAATTGTTGTGCTATCGTTGTAAAAAGTGCTGTGCGGTATTTATATGGAAGAAATTTTGTGTTAAAAATTAAGGTAAACTAGGCACTCGCAAGGAATGTAATAGTGCTTGTTTTTCATTTTTGCAATATAATGAAGTCACGGCAAAAGTTAAGCATGCAAGAGAAAAAGATATTAAGGAACTTAGTGACTATAAACTTATTAAACGTTTTGATATGCTTGAAGTAGCGGGTTTGAAAAAACGAATAAATCCCGTTGAAGAAAATTCGGGCATACTGTATTTTATCCACAATGAAGAACTTTATTTAAAAAAAACTTGTACCAATAAGTAATCTTGTGTTTATGAATGTTTTTTTATATTATTTTGTAGACTTTAAAATGTTTACTATGTTTTCCCTTTTAATATTTAGAAGGTTAGGTCGTTATTTTTTATATTTTTTAATATACTAAAGAAATAAATGGTAATTTTAAGATATGTGGATCAGTTTGAATATTGAGGTGATCCATTATTTTTTAAATTTTTTTTTGTTCTAACTTCCACCAACATTCTTCCTCACCACACTTACCCTGTACAATAGAATAACTAATAGTAACTTTTACTGGCAACCTTTTGTAAATGTTACTTTCACTAGTGAATGTTAGAAATTACTAGGAGAATCTGAATTGATTGAATGTTAAAAATCACTGAATTTCCAACTTTCAGTGTAACATATACAAAAATATACATATAAAATTTAGTTCTTAAAAGAACTGTTTGTGCTGAAAGGAACAATTTTTAAAAAAGACTATGAAAATTGCTAAAAAACGAAAATTACGTAAAATAATAATTAAACAAAGTAATAATTAATAAGTACCTAATAATGATTACGCACAATTTTTTCGTGCCTTTTCAGTTTAACCAATGTTTATTTTATTATAACGCTAACAAGAAATAAATGGCAGGAGATGACATTATAACCAAAAAACTCTCAGCGAATATTCGCAAAAATTAAGTCAGTGTGAATAACCCCCAGGTTTTAAACTATGTGAATTCGCAAAATACTAAAATAACTTTCTGTCAATTTTGCCTCTGTATTTTTTGAAATTGACCAATAACAACAATATTCGCAATTCGTATTTCGCGTGTATATGAACCTACCTTATGGAAATATGTTGATATAAATACGAAATTAAAATTACATTTACATTAGCTATTTGTTTTAGGTCAACAAGGTGATAACATGAATTTTGAAGCCCTACCTGACGATAGCGAAGAAAGCGTATTCGAATAAAACCACGGTTTGTATTTTTATTTATTCCAATTGGCTTGTTAACGGTTAGACACACCCAGAAGTACATTTTATCCATTATCAATTCTGTAGCTGTTAAAGGCTTATTTAAATTATTGGGTTCCACTCTATACAGACATCATTACATGTAATATATACATACACGTGTATATATGACATAATAGAAAAAAAATTGTATTCCCTTGTGGTTGGTGGCGTTTCCGTACGGATCCAAATGATATTGTTATTGAAAATAAATATTTCCATCGTAAATGTAATTTTTCCAGCTATATAAGTGTGCACTAAAATAATCTGGTTTTAGGTATGTAGCCAGAAGTGTTCGTAGGTTATTATTTAGGTATATTATATAAACGAAAAATAAAATTTGATGAGTGCTTTGTGTCGTAATTTAAGATATAGTACAATATTCTGAGGAGAATCGGAATCGTTCATTTATTTTTTTAATATATAGCATGGAATAGACTGTTTTTTGTGTACATTTGTTTTTTGTGTAATATATATTTTTGTTATTTATGAAAGCATCTCTTCAATGCCATATTATTAATTATAACAAACAAAATGTTCATTGTGTAAATAAAAAAGGATTTATGAAAAACGAAATATTTTTGTATTTATTGTATTTCCAAGCCTTAATTAGGATAGGGTGTACTGGTTTTATTTCTAACTCGCTAATCTCAAATTAAACCTTTTGTGTTGTAAAATGCTCAAGATGTCATAGTTGTTTTCGCGCCACTTTTCATCCGTAAATTTCTTACTCCAGCCCGTCAACAGAGAAAATTATAACAAATTTAACTTTTCGTACGATAACGGACATTTTGACACTTTTTTTACAAATTTAATCTAACCTTAAAAGGTGCCCGGTGGTATAGCAGTACAGGCTCTCGTCTACCAATCTCAAGGTAGTGGGTTCGATCATAGATAAAAGAAAATATTCTACTATTAAGATAGATATGAAACTTAATAGTAAAATTTTGGGTCAAAGCGCCCCTCCGTGTTTTTAGGGAGACTACGTTTAACCCAGCGCCTTCGCCTTTTCTGCTGTAAATGTTTTTTTATGTTTATATTTGAATTCAAAGGATTTATTTTTAAAGTTACACTGATATATTAGTATATCAGAGTAACTTTAATAAAACATAAGAATATATATATTTTACAATTTATTTCTTTATTTATTTTACAGAGTTTCATGTAAATGATCGTAAGTCGACTGGCTGTCTAATGAATAGACCCAGATTTATCCAGAACGAAAAAAAAAACAAACAACGAATACATACCATATATTTTTTTTTATCTAAGACACATACCTTATCGTCTTTTGGAAACACGTACATTTTTGCAGTTTTGTTAGTTTCTTTGTAAGATGCAACACAACAAGAAAACACCATTTTTACAGTTAATAAATAATAAAACTATTTCTGACTATGATATTTAAAATTTAGATAGATAGAAAATTAGAAAACAAACGAGTATTTGCAAACGCAGGCCCAAATTCAAAAAAAATAAAAAAAATTCCTGCGAAAATCAGGCTTTTTTCACTGAAAAGGTATTTTTTGATTTATCAGCAGTCATTGTCAAGTTGACAATATACAGGGTGTTTTCAAATTAGTCTAAAAAAATTATGATGTGATTCCTCATGTGTTCTTAAAACAATTTTTATATAACCATTGGGTCTAAAGTACTTCCTTTCTGATCTACAGGGTGTTAAAAATTAAAAAAAATCGATTTTTTTGCTTAACATAAATGGTACACTACTGCTTTTTTAAAGAAAATATATTTTTTTCTTGACTGGCCATCCTTTTTCAACAAAATTGATCTTTTGCGTTTTTCATGTTCATCAAACGGTTGTCGAGAAAAAAATAAATATACTTATTAAGAAGCCTTAATTCATTTCCTAACGATTTTTTATTTTTCAGATTAATTAGGAAACACCCTGTATATGCATATCACAGGCAACCAAATAAACTAGTAACCTCTAAAAATTATTTTCCTACCACTAGCGACATACCGTGTTTTTAGTGTGTACTAAATTATTTTATCAAAATTTCACCATATAAGTTTCCAGGCAATGGGTTCGATTCCCACACCCGGCATAGCATCAGCCGACATTTTTATTAAAATAAAAATAGTTTGGGTACCTAGGTCGACTCAGTCTTAAATGAGTACTTGGGATTCACAATCCTGAGGTAATAATAGGCGGTTGAAGCGTAGTGCTAGCCACATTACCTTCCTTGTATACCGAACGGTTCTAGTATGGCAAGCTGTACTTTGCTACTCCCAAGGCGTTAAACGCTATATACGGGAGCTATTATTATTATTATTAATCTAACCTTAATAGAAATATAACGAAAACAGCGAAATCGTTATAGAAATGAAAATATAAAATGACACCATTGTATTTCGATAAATGGAGGCATGAAAATGCAATAAATTTTACAACTGTCATTTTCTAGCCAATCGAAGTCTTTAAATTCAACCAATAAAATTAATATCGTATCGTCGGATAACGGATGCAGAAAATCAAACTTAAGTCGGTGTTATTGGGATTTTCCGATGGTGGCAGCCACACAATAGATCTATACGAAAAATACGTCAGACAGAGACTGAGTGATGTGAACACACTGGCGTTGTTGCGGAAGATCTCTAATTTTGCCTTTTCTTCATTGAAAATTGAAACTATTCTGTACACCTGTTCATTGAAAATTATGTTGGTGCCTTCGCTAGGACAATGACTAAAAATTGCCTCCAGTATAAATAAATCCTGATTAGTGTGTCAGTTGGACGTCTCTTAAGCGTAGTTTATACGGGCAAGTAAATTATCGCAAGTATATGTCTGAGAGCACTTCTACCAAACTTGCATAATGTAAACAGTATCCGAAAGCACTCTCCCAGCAAGTCACAAAACTGGCGGGGAAGTGGTTGCGACGAAAGACGCTTGCAAGTATAAACAGGTTGGGAGAGTGCTCTGGCAGAGACAAAAATTGTCCTAAAATCTTGTTGAAAGTTTTTGGTGCAAGGGATTTTCGAAGGCGTGTTAAATAACGATATTAAAAATGGAGTATGTGGTCTAAAGAAGATACCATCACTTTCATTAATTTATTTGAAGGATCTCCGGATTGTGGCAAAAAATCGAAAATTTACAGAGATAGAGCGAAAAAGCAAAAAGCAATCAAATTTATAGCTGACAAATTCAACACAACTGAGGCTGAGATTCAGCGGAAGCTACATAATATTCGTACCCAAGCAAACCAGGAGTGGAATAAAATTATAAAAAGAAAAAGTAAAATCGACTTCTGACATTCGCAGAAAATTGTTTAAACGCTTTGAGTCTTCATTTCTTATTTTTTTTAATAACATCGCGTAAGCTCCAAGACTAAGCCTTCTGGCAATCCATTCTTTAACCCATATTCTTTTTCTAGATTTTCTTGACTGTTTGCGTAAAATTGCAACAAGAAGAACAGTGGCTGCAGCTCTCTTTTTACGGCGCGACTTTTTTCTACTAAACAATATACTTGTGCAATATACACTATACCGTGTATACGTGCATGCAATTTCTTGCTCAAAGCATATGCCTAGATAGTACTTGCTTTAAAATTTGCTTAAATGTAGACACTATCGCAAGTTACTCTAGCAAGTTCTATCGCAATTTTCTATTCCGTGTAAACTACGCTTTAAGCAATTTCTTGCAACAAGTACTTTCTGGGCATATGCTTTGAGCAAGAAATTGCATGCACGTATACACGGTATGGTGTATATTGCACAAGTATATTTTTAGTAGAAAAAAATGTCGTGCCGTAAAAAGAGAGCTGCAGCCACTGCTCTTCTTGTTGCAATTTTACGCAAACAGTCAAGAAAATCTAGAAAAAGAATATGGGTTAAAGAATGGATTGCCAGAAGGCTTAGTCTTGGAGCTTACGCGATGTTATTAAAAAAAATAAGAAATGAAGACTCAAAGCGTTTAAACAATTTTCTGCGAATGTCAGAAGTCGATTTTACTTTTTCTTTTTATAATTTTATTCCACTCCTGGTTTGCTTGGGTACGAATATTATGTAGCTTCCGCTGAATCTCAGCCTCAGTTGTGTTGAATTTGTCAGCCTCGAACAATGTTGAGCTATAAATTTGATTGCTTTTTGCTTTTTCGCTCTATCATCAGGCTGTAAATTTTCATTTTACCTGGCCAAAATCACTTTCAAATAAGGGTATCAAAGTGATATTATCTTTTTGCCACATACTCCATTTTAATATCGTTGACACGCCTCTCGAAGCTCACTTCGCACCAAAAAACTTTCAACAAGACAAATTGAATTTAACTTGCTGGAGCACTCCCAACCTGTTTACTGACACTGCAAGCTGCCCGTCGCAACCCAGTTTCCCCGCCGGTTGTGATTTTGCTGAGGAGGGGCAGAGATACTATTTTTATGCCTATTTGGTAGAAGTGCTCCTCAACATATATTTGCGATATTTTACTTGCCCGTAATAAATACCGCTTTTAAAGCGAGTCGACACGGTCCAAGTGTCTTGGACCAAGTATACTTGTAAAAATGTCTATACCTATGTGGCGGATTCATTTCTCAAAAAATCCTTTATGGGTATTTCGCCACTGCACTGCAAGAAAAGAAATTCATCAAGTATTCTTGGATGAATAGCGATCTACGTCCCACTAGTCTACTCAGGCAGCACCCAATGTTGCCGTTTGTTGTCCCTTAATTTCATGATTTTCAATTGTTGCTAAACTAAAGACGTTTATAGACCATGGGTTACAAATATAAAACCCTCCCCTCCTCGTGGGAATTTGTGTGTGGGAATTTTTTATTTGTTTTGCCATATAATTTAAGAGGTTTTAGTTAAGAGGTTTTTAGCCTCATATCAATTACAGCATAGTCCGGAAAACCGCAGAAAAACGGTAAAATTTTTCACTTAGTTTGTGATGGTGTGTTTATAGGGGAAATAGCTAAAAAAGTAAATCATCAGGTTCCAAATTCTTAATTTTATTTATTTATACATGAAAAAAACACAGAATTTTAAATTATAGATGCATGCATATGAAAATAAACGAATCAGAAAATTCCAAAGTTCCATCTGTAATCAATAGCTGTTTTGTCAATAGCTTTCTTTTTAATCTTCATCATCCTCATGTAGTATATCAGTAAAGTTAAAGAGGCCTGGTTCATCTCCATCTTCAAACTCATCTGGATGATAGCTTTTCAAAACATCAGTTAGTTCGGGTGACAACAGATCCCCTTTGATCCAATCAATCTTCAGTTGTCCATTTTCCAATTTCCAGCCATGTCCCACTGGACTTAGTGTTATGGGCTTAGCGACATGGGCATTATTCCATATGTAGCACTGGTAGTTTACAAGACGGATGTGGTTTTCAAGAGAAGCTTTAATTTATATTTTACCGACAACTTTCCACGCTGAACAACAGAACTGGTGGTGTCACATCCTGATAATGCATGCATATTCAACATAGCATGACTCTTTGCTGCACCTAAATCCCCAGAAATACTGGTGACATTAATGACCCTTCGTTTGTTTGCACACAACCCCTGCCCTGTATCAAACAGTAAAACATTTTCAATTTCGTTGGCGTACCTTAACAGCAACATAAAATCTGTGTGTGTGTGTGTCTGGTGACCTAATTCTGATAGGCAATTTATCTTGAAAAGACTGAGAAGCATGGAAGCAATGTAAAATAATTTTAGTATCCGTTTCCTCTTGCGAAGAACATAGCTCTTCTTGTACAGTACAATTTACAGTTAAACCGTCTTCGCTAGTAAACAACGTGCACTGATCATTGTGTGATAACTAAACGTTTTTACCATGAAAATAGTGGGCATATTTGTCTTGTTTCCATTCATTATATAAAAGGTTGACCAGTTGTTCTTTGTTTTTGCCGTTACTGAAATTTTTTTTCCAATCGCGAGGTATTTTGGTCTTGGACCCTTTTATTAGGAATGTTTCCCCACAACCTCTTCTTAGGCTTTCAATGTTTTTAATAGGTATATCTAAGTAAGTATCTGTCAAAATATATCCTTATGTTATTTTGGAAAGCAACTTAATATTATCTCGGCAAGCTCACCAAAGGTTTCCGGAATGTTATTAAGATCTTGAAAGTGGGCCATGCCATCAATTATATAAACGCTGACTATTTACTGAATTTTTGTTTTTTTGTCTTGATTAAAAAATTAGTTTATTAAAAAAAGGTTTAAAGGTTATTTTTTTTTATTTTTCCTCAGTTCTCTACGTTTTTCCGGGCTATGCTGTAATTGGCATTAGGCAAACAGCTAAAACCTTAAACTACATGGCAATACCAAGCAAAAAATATTTAGCTCACAAATTCCCACGGTGGGGGGATGGGGGTATATACAGTGGCGAATACAGAGGGGGGCCCATGGGCCCCCCCCCTAAAGTCTCTCAATTGGGTTAAATATTAGGCATTTGGGTTAAAAATGGCGCCCTAAAAGGCATATTTTGCATTATTTTTTATTTGGCCCCCCCTAAAATAAATTTCTGTATCCGACCCTGGGTATATACGAGCCTTCACTCTATTATTTTTACGGTTTATTTCAAAGTTGAATTTGGTTTATTTTGCATTTATTGCATTTGGTTTATTTTGTTAGAACGATTTGCGTCTAGCCGGACCGTCTGAAGAATCTGGGAGACTCCAACCGCAACTTAGAATGGGTATCCTCCAACGGTCTAAGACACTCGAAAAAGTTCCTCAGAACCTACGACCGAGAAAAATCAAAGGTTTTCCTTGATTTAAGTAAAAACAATCTTCGGATTGTCACGGGGTTTCTAACAGGACACTGTTTCCTCAACGAACACCTCAGTAGGCTGAAGCTGAGAAACACCGGCGAATGCAGATTCTGTGGGGAATTTGGGGAAACACCAGAACACCTCATCACTGAGTGCGCCGAGACGACGACCATTCGTGCCATGAACTTTGGTACGGCTGATGTCAAGGATTGAGAGCTGGCCTCTGTGGAGCCGTCTCAGATACTGGCTTTTGTTAAAGCCTTGAGACTGTAGGATGAGTTACAACTCGTTATAACTCAAGAAAGGGGAAAACACATAGATCTGTAAAGTCGCGGTGACTAACTCCCCTCCTAAACATTCTACATTCTAGCCGGACCGTGCAACTTTACAACCCGCAGTTCCGCATGCGTATTTATCTTCCGTGGAACGGCAGAACTAAATAATGCTTAGCAATAGCCTGGTTACGAAAGCAGCCCGTGGTTCCGGGGGTGAGGCGGCCGCTTCGGGATCAAGGGGTCCGAGGTTCGTGTCCCACAAATATAGAAACTTTTTTATATTTTTACAGCTGTTTTATTTTTTTATTTTTTTTTTGCAGCTGTCTGTAATAACAATCAAAATACGCCGTATGTATGTTTTGATTGCCTTGGTTTCTGGGGCATTTTTTAGATTGCACGCAAAATACTCGACCGAGTATCGTTTCTGCGCATGCGGAACTGACGTAAATCATTCGAAAAAATAAACCAAATAACAATCCAACTTTAAAATAAACCGTAAAAATAAACGTCTTTAGTTTAGCTAACAATTGAAAATAATGAAATAAGGGACTAGTGGAACATAGTAACTATTCTTTATTACGCTAGCCACTTGGATGCCGCTATATGTATAACTGTACTTATAATAATGCTACACACTCGTATTATACGCTGCTTGTATGGTATATGGTATTGACTGTTATCTAAGTTGAGTTGGAAGGCTTTTTAACGTCAAAGTTGCACTAAAATAAGTAGGCTGGCTTCCAAATTCCTTAGATGCACCACTTTCATAAAACAATTGAGACCATACATACAACGTAAAAGTGAAACGCGCGCTACATCTAGATAAATAGTATATTTATATGGCAGCATCCAGTTGACTTGGTGCAAGTACACTTTGACCATGTCAACAACCAGCCTTTAATATAAGATCTGTTATAGCTAAATGAAATACAAAGTAGGAGATGAGAAATTAAACATCAATTAATGCCAATTTACTTTATTATTTTAATCTATAGTGTAACAGTTAACCAATATAATTAGAAATAATAAATGACATCCTGGATATAACAGCTATAATTATAGTAAATAGGAAAATAGTATACAATAAAATAATTGCAAATATAAAATATTAAGTAGCATATCTCTAAAATCGAGGGAGAAAATACGAATTTTCATTTTTTGTTTCGGGACATAACCAAAAAACGTCTAGAAACCATCATAAAATCAAAAACGATTATAGGGGTGATATGTTTGAGACCTCTCCGTGACACAAATGCTACTTAGTTGTAGCACAAAAACGACGGGCTCAAAAACACCACTCTACGTAGATCTCTACCAGTCTTCTGAGAATGACTTGTTAGAAAAAAACTTAAAACAATTGAGACTTACCGCTACCATTAAAATAACATTATTACAATTTTTTTCGGTGTAAAGGTAATAAAAACACCAAGCATTTCATTTCTAAATATCTGTTTTTCACGCCCGTATACTAAAAAGTATATCTGTATAAAGTTCCTTACAGTTTTTAAGGAAGATTCGTGGGTATGTACAAAAAAACGTCCGACAAAGACGTGAACGATGGACGTGAATACACTTGCGGGGAGATCTCTAATTTCTGCCTCGTTTCCGATGTAAATGTAAACGATTCTTTACAAATTTACACCTGTACAAAAATATATTGGTGCGTCCCTCTTGGACGCTGACCATATAGCGTCTAGCATAAATAAATCCTAATCAGTGTCCGAGTTGGATGTTTCCCTAGAGTGACTTGGTCCAAGTACACTTTGACCGTGTCAGCCAGGGGGCAATTTTTAGAATTGATCGTTTACATGCGAACGCGCAACTTTACGAGTTTTTCGATAATCGAGGCTTATTGTTCGTCAAGTGGGTTAATATTAAAAAAATAAAACGTGGAATTAATGTTACAGAAAAGCAAAAAGCACATCCTATCACTCCCGGGAACCTATGTATTCGGAAAAATCTACAATGATAATACGTAATTATGCAATAACTACCCGTATTGCAAAACCATACTGTTCTCTAATTCTGTTGAGTTTTTCAAAATTATTTGGAAATTCAACCCATTGATCAAATATCTCTGGATGGTTTAGAGCGTTGATAAATTCATCAATTGAAGAAGAAACCGAGGCTTGGCACATATCGATGTATTTATTTAAAGCAACATCCGGCTGGTAACAAATGTTACCCGGCTTTGCACATCCAAATCAGTCTCTCTTCTTTGTGGTCGCATGTATGGCTCAAGTAACTGAATTAAAAAACGGCACAAGTCTTTTGGATAACCGAAATATTTTAATAAACTGCCTTTCGCTCAGTTTTATGAACGCATTTCCCCGGATTGCGCAAAACATTACGGCTGTATTGCAGTTCTGCATTTTCTAGGTTTCGAATGGCCAAAACGATCATTAAGTCATCCATTACTATTATTGTTACACCTAAACCCAACTACAAACTTGGAACTATCAAATCTAATATGCGCACTTAAAAAATATCCTAACGATGCTATCGATCCGCTCGCAAGACAACGCAGGGAAATTTGCTAATACGCAAAAATGCGAACACTTAAAAATTGGATTTTAGTGTTGATCGAAAAGTTGCGAATAATTTGCACGGAAACGAATGGCCAAAAGCCTCCCCCCCAGGCTTCAGTATAGGATCTGCTAAAGCTCAATGAAATACAAGGTAGATGAGAAATTAAAAACAACCAATTAATGCCAATTTACTTTATTATTTTAATCTATAGTGTAACAGTTAACCAATATAATTAGAAATAATAAACTTATATCGATCGTTCCATGACATCCTGGATATAACAGCTATAATTATAGTAAATAGGAAAATAGTATACAATAAAATAATTGCAAATATAAAAATATTAAGTAGCACATCTCTAAAATCGAGGGAGAAAATACGAATTTTCTTTTTTGTTTTGGGACATAACCAAAAAACGTCTAGAAACCATCATAAAATCAAAAACGATTATAGGAGTGATGTGTTTGAGACCTCTCCGTGACACAAACGCTACTTAGTTATGGCACAAAAACGACGGGCTCAAAAACACCACTCTACGTAGATCTCTACCAGTCTTCTGAGAATGACTCGTTAGAAAAAAAACTTAAAACAATTGAGACTTACCGCTACCATTAAAATAACATTACAATTTCTTTCGGTGTAAAGGTAATAAAAACACCAACTATTTCATTTCTAAATGTCTGTTTTTCACGCCCGTATACTAAACAGTATATCTGTATAAAGTTCCTTACACTGTTTAAGGAAGATTCGTGGGTATGTACAAAAAAACGTCCGACAAAGACGTGAACGATGGACGTGAATACACTTGCGCTGTCGCGGGAGATCTCTAATTTCTGCCTCGTTTCCGATGTAAATGTAAACGATTCTTTACAAATTTACACCTGTACAAAAATATATCGGTGCGTCCCTCTTGGACAGTGACCGTATTGGAAATAGCGTCTAGCATAAATAAATCCTAATCAGTGTCCGAGTTGGATGTCTCCCTAGTGTAGGAAATCTGCCATTGCGCACCTTGTATTCTATCTCTTCTTGGCTATAGCGCGCTCAGTCTTCTATTGCTGTCTCTTTTCTTCTTCCAGCATGGCGTCCAGTTCGTCTGTCAGGTTGGCCAACATGTTTCCGATATCATTTAGTACGTCCACTGGCTGTTCGGCCCTAAAACAAATTTTAGTTTCAAATTTTTGAAATTGAATTCCTGGATTTTATAGAACAGTCAGGTGCAGAGAAAACGCAACGTAACATTTTTTCGTCAAGTTTAAAGTGTTATTTTTTTACTTTTAACCCTATTTTCATGAATTTTTAGTAAACTGTATATAAATTTATCAACTTTAATTCATAAACCCAGTTTTTATAAACTTTAGTATTTGGTTTATTATACAGGATTAATGACTAAAACATTATTTTTCGATCAGAACCATGTCTACTGAGCATTTTGTTTTTTGATTCATGTCAACAATGTTGCCTTGGTAAATTTTTAAGAGCGAAATGAACTTGCCATCAACAATGTGCAATTTGTTCAATTATTATTACTTTATAATGTTATTTTTTAATATCTCGAGGTGGGTTTTGGTAACTATTGTCGTAATGTCATATCGACACTGATTAGAACTCTATATTAAATTTAAAAAACGTTAAAAAGTAACGATACAGGCTTAGAGGAACTGAACATCCGACGATCTTTAAGGCTATCGGATGGCTGTAATGTTCTACAAGCAGAGGTTTACGCCATAAAGGAAGCGGCTAGTTGCACACGAGAGAAAATTGCTGATAGACCAATAGGGAATATAGTGATATATTCTGACAGCTTGACCGCTTTAGGAAGCATCACCAGTGAGCTGTGTTGGGTGCCAGGCTACAGCAATGTGGTGGGCAATCAGGAAGCAAACAGACTCGCCAAAGACGAGGCCAGGGGAGATGCCATGGCAGATGACTCACCACTTGCGACGATCAACACACTGAAGGAAGCTATAGGAACTGCCATCAAAGCCAAGCACCAAAGACGTGGCAACACCGTGAGGGCTGCGCTACAGCTCGAAGACTATGGCCTGGCCAGTGATAGATAGCAAAAAGACAAAACAACTACTAGAGCACAAAAAGGACCTAGTACACATAATAGTAGGTGTCGTCACTGGAAACTGTCCCACGGGGGTAAACCTCGTGAGATGGAAAGTTTCCGACGACGACTACTGCAGAGAATGCGGAAAGGATAAGAAGAATAGAGCTTAGAGCACCTGCTGTGCCACTGTCCGGCACTGGAATTCCGACGCTTTAAAACTTTCGGGCAAGGTTTTTTGGAGGGACTAGAGGAAGCAGCAGAAGCCAACATCAGCGACATCGGGAACTTTGCAAAGAGCTGGAAGTGCTTTAACCGCAAAGAAAGAATGAGAGGAAGATTTGGTACAACAATACAGGGGTACCGCAATGGGCCCAAGGCCTCCGAGTGAGGGATAAAACATGATCCCAAACCCCAGAAACCTAACCTAACCTAACGATACAGGCTTGGTTTTAATGGGTATTATTAACACTAACAGAAAACAGAACTAAGGCTATTAACAAAAATAACTAATAAATAAGTATACAAACAAACAAAAAACTTGTAAAAATACTCTAATACTTTGTATTGCCTCCCCGGCTGCTATAACTGCTAATCTGTAGACGTCGGTTCATATTGTTAATGAGGCTGCAAATATATTGTGTTATGTTTTCTCATTCTTCTACCAAAGCCACCTCGTCATTATGAAGAATAATATAGTCGGCCTTGTGGTCGAAATGATTGCGCCGCTTTCTAGTAGACGCAAGGTCGCCGGTTCGAATCCGGCCCCGGACATGCATGTTAAATGTGTGTGTGAGTCTGTATTTGTCTGATTTTAAACGCTAATTAAAAATTAAGAATAAGCTGGCTGAATGTCGTAATAGACAAGTGGCCAAAAATAGAAAAAAAAGAATAATATAAAAAAATAACGATAATTAAAAAAAATGCCAAATGTTTGTGGCAAATTCATTTTGCTCTTAAAAATTAACTAAGGCATGTGTTGACATGAGTCAAAAAAGAAAACATTCAGGAGACACGGTTGTGACCGAAAAATAATGTTTTAGAAAAATTTGTACACGAAATCATTGTACAAGGTGTTTGAAATATAGGGTAAAAAACAACTCTTCGATTAATGCTGTATAATAAGTTTATAATAAACTGAGTTTACGAATTAAAATTGATATATTTATATACAGTTTGCTAAAAATATCAAGGAAATAAGACTAAAATAAAAAAAAATATATAACATTTTAAACTTGACCAAAAATTTTTCCGTTTTTGCATCTCAGTGTAGGATGAAAAATTATAGTTGAAGGTACGTATGTACCAAAAATGCGAGCAAGTGCGAGGAAGAGCAAGCGATCATTCTACGTTAATCACCTAGTGAGTGAACAAGTCTTTGTTTGTTCTGTTTTGAGATTTACCCTTTAACAGGATGCCCTTTTAACAGGATAGTTTTGAACTAGCTACTTTTGATAGCGACTCTGAAATTCAGCACAGGATTAGTAGCAATTAGCCTCAAGAGCATTCTGGAAACTAAAAGACAGGGTTTTCTACAATCATGACTTGAGCACAAGAACGAAACTTGCAGTGTACCGAGCAATTATAATCCCCACCATGTTATATGGGAGTGAAACTTGGGTGTCGTACCGCCGACACATGAACGCATTAAACAAGTTGCAACAGAGACACTTCACACAACTCTTAAGAATCCGGTGGTTTCATCATGTCTCAAACGTATCGGTCCTCGAAAAAGCTAACTGCGAGAGTATTGGATTCATGGTTCTGAATCCCGCTTAAGATGGGCTGGTCACGTATGCAGAATGCAAGAAACCGCATACCAAAATATCTGCTTTACGGTGAGCTTGTGAATGCTAAGAGGAGGCCGGGTGGACAACTGAAAAGATACAAGGACATTTTCCACAAAAACTTAAGGGGATTAACATGCAGAATGAGTGGGAAAAAGCAGCTCACAATAGAATTCAATGGAGAAGAATTGTAAACTCAGTTAACAGCGACAACCAAAAAGTAAAGAGGCATCCAAGCAATAAGATTTTTGAATGTCCAGAGTGCGGTAGGCAGATAACATCACGTATCGGGCTTTTCAGTCACAGAAAAGCTCATGAAAGTTTCTTTGAGTGACCATATTCTGATGCGTGTCGAATATTCGTCAGCGAGTAATGGCAGTATGTATGTATAGTTTTGGTGGGTCCTTCAATCTGACAAAAACCTTGTAAAAACTTAGATATTTTTATTTTGATGCTGTAAAATATTTCGAAATATTTTGAGAGGCACTGCACCGCCAAAATATTGACGCTCCTGTTTTTTTTTAAATGCGACCACTCTAGATAGCTGCATTTCGAGTATGGACGTTGACTCGTTTAGTGCTATGACCAATAGACTAGTGCACTCCGCTAAACATACTATTGTGTCTTTTGCTGGCGTTTTATTCCGAGAATGTTATTGCTTTTCTATATTTAATCTGAGGGTAAATTACACTATTTAACCTATTTACCTGTTGCGTGAACTGGTGTTTGGCGTTCTGCTCGTGTTGGGCGTCGGGGACGGATGCGGTGGAAGTCCGGGTCTGGGCTTCGGCGATGAGAACTCTGCTTGGCGGCCGGCCGTACCCGCTCTGGTGCGGATCGTACCGGCGTTCTCGTTAGCAAAAGGTAGAGAATCGGATTCTGTACTCGAACTCGACTGAAACCGAAAATAACATTTAGCTCAATTTGATAAGTATAAAAGAATAAATAAAAAAAACACTAAAAATTAGAAGTAAACTATTGCGCTACCGTGCTAGTTAAGGTTCATTCTCACTATACCTTCCATATCAGCTACCTTCCTAATAAATCTTTATCTATTTCCCTTCCGTTTACATAAAATATTATAACATGTAAATTAATAGGACCAATGCACACTAGCCGTTCCGTTTCCCTTCCGTTCCATATCCTTTCCTTCCATACATTTTTTGGCGGATGGACTGAAACGTATCGGAAACAGCGTTGTCAAGTTCTTACATTTGTACCAGCGCTGTTAACATTTTGCTGATATTTATTTATTCTTTCACCTCTTAATTAAATCTATTTCCTTTTTCAAAAGATAAAAATTTTTGAAATAAAACTTTCATAATGATATAAATTGTACAATAAAAAGTATGGAACTGATACGAAACGGAAGCTTACGTATAGTGTCAATACAAAAAAATACGGAACGGATATGGAATGGATATGGAATGGACACGGAAGGTATAGTGAGAATCAACCTTTATACTTAAATTGCATATAAGCAGGTGTACGACTGTAATTATTTAAGTACCCATTCACAACGTACACATATTATGATTAATTTACTCTACATAATCTGAATTAGAATGGCTATTTTGCCATTGAAACAGAAATCAACAAAAATGTTTAACGTTTAGGGGTTATATCCCAAGGTTATTACATTAAACAGATTATGACAGTAGTTGGCGCGATTACGTCAGCTAGCGGGACATTTAAAATACCTATTAACAAAAGGTTCAATAATAATAACAATTACACTAGTTAAATTGTTCTATAAAATCTTTATCTATTTTTCTCTAATTTTGCTGACATTAACATTTTTAAGCACTACTTTTATTTGAAAAAAATAGTTTTATCATTTTATCATGTTACCAACCCAGTCCAAATAATTTATTATACAAATACATCACTCAGCAAAAACAATACTGAACATTATTGACTGTTACAGGTAGGAATGATATCTATTTCTAAGGAAAATGTGATAAATAATTTAAAAAAATATCTCTTTCCATCAATTATTAAACCTAATACGTTAAGTACACTAAAACTAAACAAAATATAGTATATCCACTAAAACTGCCTTATAATGCACTTAATACACGGAAAACAATATAAAATTATTTGTAAACAAACTGCTGAGTACCACACGATGACGCGCAATATGGCGGCTAATGTCAAGTTACGAGAAAACCTGTTTAATTTAATAACCTTGGTTATATCCCTCCCATCGTCAGTAATAGTCAAGATAAAACAAAAAGAATACAGAGAAAAACTATTTAAAATGTCTAAATCTAACCATGTCGGAAACATTTTAGTTGTTTACTATAGACATCTATTAAAACCTAGATAAATTACTGGATTAATTCCAGCACTGTGTTTCTCGTTGATTTTCTATGTCAGTGGCATAATGCAAAGCCTTTCTTTTAGAAAATATGTTTCTAGACCAACTGAAGTTTATACTAAGGTCCGTCTGTTAAACTCCGTCTGTAAAAAGAAAGCGAGTATCATATACAGTAAAGTTGTGTTGATTTCTTGGAATATGTATTTATGTATTAACTATATGTATTAGTATATTATTCCCTAATTCATACACAATTCGGTTTAAACTACTTTAGGAATAATCTTAAATTTAAGTGTAAAACTACTTAGTAGTAGTATATTCAGAAGTTTTTATATTTATAAAATGTTTCCAAACATCAGAGGTTACCATTTCTCTAATGCTTGAAAAAATATAAATATAAAGTGTCATGAATATATCAAGATGTTTTACACTAAAATTTAAGATTTTTCAAAAGTGGAGTTAATCGATAATTGTGCAGTGAACGGCTCATATATTTAACAGATAAAGTGTTTACTTGTCTATGATATAGACTAGCTGAATAGTTTATAATTTTTACTGGCTATTTTGATGGAAAACCATATAAACGAAAAAGTGGTTTTAGTCCTTCTTTAAACAATCGCTATATAAAAATACAGTGCTATAAATTATGTGTTAGTGAACCGTATAATTAATTCTTAGAATATAAAATGTCAACATAACTTAATTGTACGCGACTTACACTTTGTGTTTACGGACGGTGTTCTTTCTAGACTAGAAACTTATTTTCAATAATGAATACTCTCCTTCGTATCGTATCTATTTTGATAATTCTCCAGTTAACAACTTTCTTTCTCTCAAATAAATATATCGCATAAATTACTATTATTTTAACTTAGATTTCTTCACCACTGAAGGTAGAGGCGATTTGTTCATTGAAAAAATTAAGTATATTTTGGTCTGGATAAAACAGATAGTTACCTTAAAACTAGCGTCAGACCCGTTCCGATGTTGCAACGCCAGCGTCTTGATCAACTCCTGCTCCTCCGCTCCCCAACTCTGCGACGAATTCAGTTTCCCAGGCGGCGTCCCAGGCGCCGGCGGAGGAGGCAAAGGCAAATCACCCCCGCTATCCAACGATATACTCAAACTATCCGAACTAGGATACGCGGGCAACGGCAACGGACTCGACGTCTGGACGTGGTGGATCTCCACCGTTGTCGTCTCCTCCGACCCGCACTCGCTATCCCTCCTCTTGGGCGGATTCGGCGGTATCTTCTTCCCCATCATCGGACTGCCGTACTGCGCGTAGGCGTTCGGCACCGGCTTGTACTGCGGCCCGGCCGAGTACTTCTCGGGGTTGAACTGGGGCTTCTCGAAGTCGGGGAAGGTTTCCCGCGCTTTGGCCGTGATTTTCGCGATAGGTCTAGGCCGGATGATGCCGCGGGGTCGGGGGAGGGTACCGCCGCCCTCGTAGAGCAAGGCGGTCTCGTTGGTGGGCGTTAAGTCGCCGTCGTCGTAGGATCTGACGCGCCAACCGACCGGTTGCTGGTAGTAGAAGGTCTGGGTGTTGTCGGCGGAGAAGGTGTGGTGCGTCCTTTCGTTGGGGTCTTCGAGGGACTCGAGGGATTTGCCCCGGCCGGTACGGATCTGAAAACGATTGGCAAATGTTAGAATATTATTCATGTAAAATTATTCTACTCTATCGTTATACAGTGACACACAATATCCGCATCAAATTGCATTTTCATCGAATATTTAAAATATAGCAAGTACTTTTTTGTTTTTATGACTTATTTCATGTTACCCAACTATATCAATGTGATTGAAATGGTTTTAAAGTTAATGTTCTCTTTTTTAATTATAATTGTAGATTTTTTTTTATAAAATCACTAAGTTAAGACGTTAGAAAAATTACAGTTGAAGTTATATACCGTCAATGGCGATTTCATGTTCTGATGGAATGCGCACAATAATTATTATACCATATGATCACAAAATAAACGGTGTCAAAGACGGCTGGGGTATGAAAATGGATGATAATTTTGACGAGGTCGAGCCCTATACACCATTACTTGGCCCCGACTCTTTTTAATTTTTTAATGGCGCTTACTGCCAGTCGGCCTTAAGAAGATCGTAATTTATTTATGTATTGAGTAAAAATGATTTTTAAATGATTAGTTTTAAATTCAGGAAAAATATTTTATTTTGAAATAGGTTTATGTGTCTGGAAACATTCTATCCTATTTTAGTCCTTCTATAACTAGTGGTACTTTTTGTGTTAGTTTTATGTCAACTTTTGGCAAATGTCTAGAGATTGACCTCTCCTAAATTATCATCGATTGTAATTCTCCAGCCGTCTTTGACGCCGAATTTTTTTCGATTATACGGTACTTGATTTAGATTTATTATAACAGGCACCTATTTCTACGAGACAGCCTAAAATATTCATATATCTACAGGTTTTTTGTGACCTTTTTCTTGACCTATCGCGATCTGCATGATATCAGTTGGTTATTATTTTTGTCATCGATCTACCGAGTGGGTTTCCTAGACTTCACTTATTAATCGGATGGTTAAATATTTATTGTTGTTTAGTGTCTCTAAATGAAACCTAGCCATTAAAAATCTTACATGTATGGGATTACACCTTTAGGATTTAATGTACAATTTCAGTCCTTTAAAGTTTAAAAGAGACAGAACAAAAAAGTAGAATTTTCTTGAAAAAGTGAAATTCAGAAAAGATTATTTTATAAAGGTAATTCTTGATAATTGTTATTTTTTAAATAGTTATAACATAGAATTCCAAACCTGTTTTAAAAACCAGACTATCGTAGTTTTTTGGATGTTTGAAAATTCGATATGACTTATTACTAAATAAAATTTTTTGATGTAAACAAGATTCAATTTTTCTCCATTATCACAAAATGTGAATCATGTACAATGAAGTTGTGATAACTTTTTGCTGTTTTATTCTACTCCTCTTTTTTGGAAGTATATTTATTGCAATTCATAGTTCACAATATCCTTATACCAGGGCTGGCATTTCTGATCTTGGGTGCCGATTTTCGTGTGTACGAAGAGTACAGTCAACAAGCTTAGCATAATAAGATGTACTGAATAGACAGCAGGCAAGTATTTTCCCAAGCGCATGGAATCTAGCGTCAGATTAAATTTTGTTATATACTTTCTTATTTTTGCTCTCTCCGACTTACTAAATTGCCATAGCGATTCACTCATATACATGTAAACGCCGACCCAAGGTTTCGCTTGCCAGCAGGGTATGCCTTGAATTATTAGAGAATGATGTTTGTGAGATTATGCTTTAGTATAATTTAGTATTTTTTGTTGTTTCTGTTGCTTCATTTCTTATTAAAGGCTAGCCAATGAAAAAACTTATTCAAGGCTGCTTTTTTTCACATTTCGTTAACGAGTACCTTTAACATGGTTAGCGTAATATCATTATCAATGATACAGACTATATATCAGCAACTCTAGGGGGTAGTCACAAAATATGTCTTGATCATAATGTGTGTCACATTATAAAGAAAATTTCATATCTCATACAGCAAAATAGTAGGGTTAGCTCTGACTGGCATTTTGTATTTTACTTGTTTTATTTACCATAATTAATTCGGTATATACTAAAAAGGAAATAGATTTACTGTCTTATTGATAAAAAGTACGATTTAATGCGGAGTATGTGTGACACTGTAATTTATGTATTTTTATAGGAATCGCTACTATTGTCTTTATTTAAGTAGCGACCTACATTCTCGAATAATTTATAGTGCCACAGTACTTGGCAAATTACGTGTTTATTCACAAAGCAAAGATATATTACCGACATTAACTATTTGCGAATCCTATTCTATTTGCAACTTTTGCCCTAAATATATATAAAAAGTAAATGATATATGTATATTATTAAATCACTAATCAAAATTAATTTGGATTTATTATTAAGATTAACTTCAATTATAAATAAACGTACAGACCTTTTAACGGCAATAAAATAAACAACTTGCTTAGAGGATCTAATTTTCATCAAATATGTTGTGAATAATTAATACTAAAAGCAAAATTATAACCTTTAATCTCCCTCTAATTGGGAAACCAACTAAAAAGGGATTTAATGTACAATTTCAGTGGTACCAAGTTTAAATGGATTCAGTGAGCAAAAAAGTAGAATTTTCTTCTTTGAAATTATTAAATTCTTTAATTTTAGAAAAATATATCTAGATAATAATTAATTTTTAGCCTAGAAGTCCAGACATATTTTTAATAATATAATACCAGGCCGTCGTAGTTATGATATGTTTTAATATTCAATATAATTAATATATCGTCCTGTTGCTGTCAAAAGTCACTAACTAACATTTTTCCGAACAACCAAATTCAATCATTAACTATGTTTTGAATCGGAGAATCGATGGCAAAAGTCATTAACTACGATTTCTGGCTATTTATGTTTTATTTTAATACCGAATAGTTACTAACTATAACATCTTTATGCAATGCAATTCTTCTTTAGATGCATTTTTCTCGGAAGTAATAAAAAGTAAGTTAGTGACTTTTGGCAGCAATGGGACGATATTAGAAATATTTATTCAAAAAGTAAAATTGCTTAAGTTAAATAGCAGCAAAAAAGTAAAACAAAAACCTTATGAACTAATGAAATGTTACTGAAATATTTATATGGTGTTACAGCACCATTGGCACACAGAACTAAAAATAAAAAAAAAAGAAATGTAAGTATAATGGTGGCTAATAAATTATCAACGTATATAGATAGAATATTCTCTTGTAAAATATTACTGTGTGTGTTCCCTGTAAAATTTGTTTGATCAAAGAATTGCATACACTACACAAATAATCACGAAGAGAAGGAGTTTTGATTTTATTTAAATTTACTGTCTATTTTTCATATAATTTTATCAAAGATGTAAAAGTATCTTTGTGGCATTATAGCATTATATTATATCTAACATTATTGTTTGCTGTTGTTCAATTATTAACATCTATAGTCTCTCCAAGCCGAGACTACTTGACAATGACAGTTGTTGTCGGTTATTTTATTTAAAAAGCACATTATATTTTAGGTCGCTTGGTGGTTGTGGTCTCTGTCGTAATATTAATATTAATTAATACTAATTATAGTAAAGAATGTTATTTTGTCATCTATTTGAAATACGATTTAGGTTGGAACAGTGAGGTACAATAGGAAATTACAAAAACTGTATTAGGATATCATTTGAGTAAGAAAAAAACAACTATGTACCGAAATGTGCGTCCAATAATTATTTAATTTGGGTATATTATAGTAAATTGCTGTTATTTGCTTTTATCATTTGTTACTTTTCTAATGACAAGTCAAAATAGACAAACAAGAATAAGACTCTACTTTTGATTTTGAATTCGACTGAAAATACAGAATTTTATTTTCAATATGAGCATAAGGTACAATTATATTTTGCATATACAGGGTTGTTCACCACATACGACACGGAGTATTGTAGCTAAACGATTAGATTTTCACAAATTGTAAGTTCGGGGTTCGTTGAAGGTCAATTAGAGCTACAATTTAAAAATATTTTTACAAGATACAGAGTGTCCCAAATAAGTAAAAAATATTATAGTTATATTTTTTTAAATGGAACACCCTCTATATTATTCTATTTTTGGATTCTACGATTGAAATAAAGGTAAATTTGATTAAGGTTTATCACACTTAAACCTTACCGTTTTTGAAATATTTTCAATTTTATGAAATTGCAGTAAAAATTTAAGGCTTTATTTCTCCAAGGGTATCAAAGTTTTTAATACTAAATATTTACTGAAGATTATTTATTGATCAGATATTGTGTTGCAATAATAAAAATTTTACTACCTTATACAGAGTGTCCAAAAATTTATATTAAATAATTACTAGCTTTAAACGGCAATAACTTGTTTAATTTAAATGGAACACCTTATATATTTTACGTAAATCAGATGCACAATGTTATTGTCTATCAAATTTTATTATACCATTTTTTACCCATCTCTTCAAGTTTTCGTAGAAAATGCATTTTTTTATAATTTAGGCCTCATTTATCACTATACCCATGGAATATTGACATTTCAGATTTTTTTATAGCACCATAATATGTACAAAATGTACAGGTGGTAAATATTGCAAGCCCATTGGCATACAAAATAAACTATTTAAATATTTATAAAAGAGTATACCAATTAAATATACCATCATTATTTCCTAACAAAAACACCAAAAATTAGTTAATTACATACTTATAAATTGTTTTAATTAAAACATTATTCTAAATGAATGTGGATTTGGCTCAGAAATCAATATAATAATAAGTCATAAAAATGAACGTGTGTTTTTATAAATAAACATTCGTTAATAAATGAAGTAAAATCTATAAGGTGTTGCTTTTTACCACACTGTCTAATACACACACAAAATTCAATTTTTTAGTATTTGGAGCAATTATTACTACAACGTAAACAGTCAAATAATGTAGTTTGAATACTGGGATCATATTAATCGGTCCTCTTTAACAAAAAATATTTAAACAGTTTTTTTATTTTTTAATTAAATAAGCGAACTAGATATATCGACAATATTAGTATCTGTACCCTTTGAA